AGAATGCAAATATGATTAGATCACATGTAAATAAAAATTAGTCATCTATAAAATAAAAAAAGAAAAGAAATATAGAAACCTCCATAATATACTCTTTTTAAAATATTTTTACCAGAACTCACAAAAAGAATTGATGGATTACATTTTAGAACCATGTGTATGGAAACTGAGCAGATACTTAGTGATGGTTCATCTGTTTTGCATTATGATGTTCACAACCTTTATGGATGGTCACAAGCAAAACCTACTTATGAGTAAGTAATGTTCATAACTGTCATCTGTCTCCTTTTTACGCTCAACTTTTAGATTTAATATTCTCTACTTTAGGAGCATTTTTCTGCTGACTTAGTGGGCAGTCTTTTCCTTCTCCAGTCTTCTCTGTCCATTACTTATGCGTTCTTAGCATGTCAAATATTGTAGATGCCTAAATTTGTGTCCATATCTATCTACCTCTCTTCTTAAATATTCTATCTTTATATCTTGTTATTATTATCCTTATTTGTATGTTTTCCTTAGATTAATTGGGAACCATATTTATTTTCTTTCAAGTTTACCCAACTCACATAGCACCTGACAAATGATAAGTGCTCAATTAGTAGATCAATTAGGTAGGAGTATATCAATGAATAAATAACTCATAGTTTGATATCTGCAGGTCATTGAAATTCAGCTAAGTATATAAATTAATTATGACCCAATTTGAACATCCATGAATACTCTTAAGTTTCTCAAACTTAAAACCTGATTTTCTACTTCATATTCTAAAAAGCTACCAAATGAGGCTCCTGCTGTGAAACAAACTATTCTTTGAATCTAAAGGCTTTATCAGAAAGCTAAGAAAATGTTCTATAGTGGTAAACATTATTCCATAAAGTTGCATAAAGTTTGTGGCTGTCAAGTAGGGTACCTACTAACCACATACAGCATAGTGGGTTAGACTTTGGGAAGCTAATCTCAAGGTCAGCAGTTCAAAACCACTAGCCACTCTTCAGGAGAATGATGAGGCTTTCTACTTACCTAACCCACAGGGGCTGTTCTACCCTATCCTATAGAATTGCTATGAGTCAGAATTAATTAAATGGCAATGATTGAGCGAGCCATATGTAGTTCCTGAGCAACAGGCTATATAAATTGTCTTTACTTTTAATTAATCACAATTTATATTTAATTAGCTCATTTAGCTATTAGCCACTTCAGCCGACAGTGCAGCAACTCCAGGTCACTGGATCTTGACTGTAAGCTATAATTACCTGTAGGCATTTAAAAGACGCTGATTTAATTGGTCTGGAATCTCATCTGAGCATCTGGATTTTTTTTTAAATTCCACAGGAGATTCTATTAAGCAGCCAGAGCCCCCAAACACCTCTTTTTATAACATGACTGAACTTAGTAAAATAATGAAAACCATTATGAAATAAAGAGTATGAATAAAATTCCACACTTCGTCAAACACGCTTGTCTATTTCTAGCACCTAATTCTTACTTAACCTAGAGTAAGAACTCAGTAACTGTTTGGTAATTAATAAACTATTACCAGAACATTTTGTCATTAAATTTTCACTGATTCTCAAAGCTGGGACAAAATGTTATGTAGAATTACTAGGAAATTTATTGCTAGTGAACAAACTGGTCATTAAACAAACAAACAAAGAAAATTGAACAGTTGTATTGGCACTTCACTCATATATGATATAATTCAGTAGTTCAATCATATCAAGAAGAGTTGGACAATCATTACTACAATCAATTTTTTAAAAAATTTCTCTTTCCTTGATTTTAGTGTAATTATATTTATTATGACATAAATATATGCAACAAATATTATCTGATTCAACAACTTCTGTATGTATAAATTTAGTGAAAATTTTTCTTTAGAAAACATTGCTTTCAATTGATTTCATTGAAAAATAATAATGGCCCAAAATTATCCTTGGCTAATCATCACTATAGCATCAATCTGTAGATATTATAAAGAATAAAAATATTGAGAATTTACTGATGGTCTTCTGCTTTAAATTATTCCTGTTTTGAGATGAAAGGATATAGTTAAAGAGAAATTAAAAGAAAGGACACCTCTCCATAGAGAGTGTAAATTAAGCATCAGGAGCACATTAGTTAGCCTGGCATGGTTCCTGACACGTTGTGGATGTTTAGTATATTTCAAAGAACCCCCTTATTATCCCATTAGATCTATCAAAATTGCATAAATATATTCTAGAATGATTTGAGTGAATTTTTGAGTAGGTGCTATCCAAAGTTATATAGGGTTGTAAGTCTTATTTTCACTCTTAAGTAAAATTATGAAGAGGAAATCAAAACCCTTTCTCACAGAATATTATTTAATGCAGGAACAAAATGCATTTCATAACCGGTTCACTTTACCTCTAGCCATGGTTTATCTTGTAGGAAAGGTAGTAATTACATTTTTGTATTGACAATTATCAAGATTCATCACTTTTAAATATTCAGGTAAAGACCCTGACTTACACATGGCCACAAAACACTCAAATTTTAATTTTTTACAGTTAGATGGAGGAAAAGTTAAACTCTCAGAAAACTATAGAGATTAAGTATATTTATTATATGACTACAGAACTGAAACCAATCAAAATGAAACCCATTGCCACTGACTTGATTCTGACTCATGGTGACGCAGGATATTCCAGAGTAGAGCTGAGGTCCAGAGGGATTTCTGGGCTGGAATATGGCAAGCTGTTTCTTCATGACTTTGGTTGGGTTCCAACTGCCAACATTTAGGATAATAGTTGAGTGCTACCGAGTCATTCCACCTCAGAGCCATAACCAATGTAAATGACTTGAAAAATAAATTATATTGTATATTAAGCAAAGACTTTGAATCTAATTTT